TTACACTAACTCATATTTTTTTTAGTGTCTATTTGACCGATGGACAATCAATTTGACTAATTTGATTATTTAACGTAAGCACATTATATATGTATATATTTGGATATTATTGTGATTTTAAAATTATGGAGCATTCTCTTTCGTCATTTATACGAGATTCTTTTTTTTTAAAAAAAATGGAACCTATTAAAAAAAAACCACGAAAAAAGGTAAAATTTGTTTGCTTTTAATTTTATAAACATTTAACAAATTTTTATTTTAGGCGAATTTTACTTTTGAAAAACCTACTGAAAGAACAAATTATTAATATATTCATAGAAGACGAATTGCCCTTTATTCAATAAAAGCAAGATATAATGCTTTCTCAATTAACAATTATATATCCATCAAATTTTAATTGGTAAGTACATCTTCGATTATTCTTGATTATATTTTTATTATCCTTAATTTTTTTTTGAATAATTTAGATGATTTAGGTGAAAGAACAATCATTCATACCGCAACAATAAAACAATACCTATTTAAAACTAACCGCAAAGGATTAAAAGAACTTATTTCAAAAGATTACGGCTGATAAAAATTTTAATTAATTTTGTAGTATAAAATAAGTAATTATCTATTATATTACAATATATTATTAAATAGTTAATTTTTATAAAGAATCGTGATATCACAATAATATTAAAAAACAAACAAATAGAAGGGGGGATAAAATTTCAGTTCAAGCCGCAGTTGTGAAATTTATTTATAAATTGTCTTACCGTTCTAACTTGTATATTTGGATAAAATGTACAAATTTAAAAATGCCACGACTAAACCTCGATTGCGTTTTGGAAATTTTAGAATGTTCAGATCATAATACTTTATATAAATTTTCATTTATAAATCGTGATTATTCCAAAGAGGCAGTAAGAATTTTATGGAGGGACGTTTGGATTCGTGCTGATTTAAATAATGATTTATCAAATATTCTCATTACCCTGATTGCTTGCCTTCCCGACGATTCGAAAGAATATTTTTATGAAAAATATAATGAAATATCCAAGACAAAAAGTCCATGGCATAAATATGCATCGTATTGCAAAGTCCTTAATATTCGTATAATCAAGCAAGCGATCAAAAATTTTGAAAAAGAATTCGATAATGGATATTTATTATCAGAATTATTAAAAATGTTTATGAATGAGGTCGGATCCTTGAAATCACTAGAATGTTCAAATGAGGATCAATTCAGCAGTTACCCTGGAGCAAAACATTGCTTAAAAAATCTCTCAGAGTTGAAATTATATGGCACGGTTATCAATCAAGAATTTTTTAAACAACTATCTAAATCGTGTCGTAATATTAAAACATTAGATGTAAATTTTTTTGAAAATATTTATAACGATTTGGCAGAACTTATTTCTAAACAAGAAAATTTGACCTGCGTGAAATTATTTCAAAACTATGGTTGTATAGTTGAGACTGTATTGATACAAGCATTATCAAAGCAAACTACGATAGAAATATTAGAGATTAATTCATCGTCAAATAACGATTATGTACCAAATTTATCATTTATAAAAAAGTTCAAAAATTTACGAGAACTTTGTTTATACTTTTCTTCAAAAAAAGCTTTTAAGGGATTTGATGAATTACAAGTTTTTCGTCAACTAAAAGTTTTAAAAGTTCCAAGTTCACTTCCAGAAAATAATGACTTAATTAAATTTTTAAATACCAATGGTAATACTTTAGAAGAATTACATATAGCTAAGGATGAAGTTGATTCTGAAATATCTAAAATTTGTTCAGATCAATCTATTAGAATTATTAAAAGCTGAATTTATTAAGATGTTAAAACGTTTAATTTTTATTTTTATTTTTAGTAATTATCTTTTATATCTCATTAATTTAGGAAGCATGCTTCAAGTTTACATTAGTATGATTATTAACTTTAAACTTTTAAAAATTTTCTTTATGTATAATATTAAGAAAAATTAGGATTAAAAAAAACTTTTAAAAAAAATTGTGACCAAAAAGAAATAGTTGACAAAGTTAATCTTGTTATTTTAACCATTTGAGAATGTTCCGTAAGTTTACTTGAAACGCCAGTTATGGTGTAATATATGACTCAAAATTTGTCATCGGATGTACAAACATATATATCAAAGGAATAAACACACATTTAGGACGTCTTACTCAGAGAACGATTCTTTGTCAAATATTAGTAAATAAAAATAAGCTGGATATATATAATTTAAAAATTTAATTATAAAATGCATTACGGCATTAATTGTGAAGCCCATTTGACCTGTACCCAGAATACTTAGAAACGTAACGGAAAAATATCACGTGAATCATCCGCAGAAAATGTCACGTGAATGTGATCTCTGATGCAGACCATGTCTAAAAATGATAATTTCATTTTTATAAAAAACCAATCCATTTTTATCCAAGCTGAAAAACTTTGCTAACCTCGACAAGTCTTCTATCGCTTCTTTTCCAAAGGTGAAGAGCATTTTTAATTAAACATAAATTGATTAATAAATGAGTATCAGTGATCACGTTAACGTGACATTTCTCGTGGAAACCAAATAGGTATATCATACCTGGGTCCAAAAATTGTGTGACATTTAAGCCCAAAATTTTTACATGTAAAGTTAATGGAGAATTGACGTAAAATATCTTGCTTGTCTTTGCTTTAATTTTAAAGGATTAATAAAGATAAATATGCACTTTTAAAGAACTTAATATCACCAATCTATAAAAGAACTTTTTCAAATTAAAGAAATACTCATCTATATTTCCAATTTTATTTAATAATAGGTGAATTTTAATGAAAGTGGATACATAAATTAATTAAACTTTATTATTAATTATATAAAAATTTTATTAAAAAAAAGAAAAGACAAACCAACGGATGACGCATACCTGAATATTTTTTAATTTCAATAACATTATATGAAATTAAATTATTAAAAAGTATAAAATCTCATCTATGCTTTGAGAATACAACGCATTTATAGTTATAGGATTGTTTTCTTTTCCAGAACTATTTCCAGAACTATTTCCTATTAAATTTAAGTTTTTTTTTTATTAATAAAAATCGACTTTGATGCTCTAAGTAAACTTATAAATAGTATATATCTTGAAAATTTCATGAC